GCTGAGTTTGATCCGCACAGTAGAAGGAGAGATCCAATTCCTGATCACACAGGAGAGCTGTCCTCTGACCTCCACACGGGTGATGTGGAATGCGTGCATGCCCGTGCACAACCCCGCCTCCCCCCCCAGTCAATCAATCAGTCAATCAATCAACGCATGTTGAAAATAAAGAAAACCTACGGACTTTTTGTAAACTGGCGGGGGAAGGAGGATAGGAAAGGAAAAAAGGAAGGGACCGAGTTGAAAGCTGCAATATAGGAATGCCAAACACGTGCTCTCGGGGTACTAAGAGGGAGACAGAGTCCAAAGAGAAAGGGAAATTTTGGACTGGTAAAACCATCAGACATCCAGATGGATGGAATCCTGAGCGTTCTCACGCGCGTGCCCGCACGCGGCCTGAAAGTGCCTCCAGGGCGGGACTGTCTGTTTTGTTTGATGCAATACCCCTTGCTCTTAGAACAATATCAGGCATTCAGTAGGTGCTCAATAGACGTAGACAAGAAAGTTTTGCTGCAAAGCTGCAGAGTGCCTGCAGTTTCTAAAATCACCACCAGGTGGGAGTCTTCCAAACCCTGACGCCTCCATAAGCCAAGTCTCAGAGCCGGCTTTGTGTGATGCCACTGGCCGTGGACTTTCAGGATGTCTTCTCTGGGGCTCAGCTTGCCAGTCCCAGCACATGCCCCGGGCATCAAGTGACCTTTCCGCCTCTTCTCTACTTCCCTCCAGCACCAGCCAGTTAAACAACCCTTTGTCCTTGGCCCCTTCCGGCTGGGCCCTGAGGCTCCTGGTCCTCTTCCAGGCCCGGAGAGGAGGCTGGGACAAAGGGGGAGCATCTGGGGAAAGGCCAGGGAAATGTCCTGGAAAGTTTGAATCAGCTCTTCCAGTCTTCCTGGATAGCACTGTGGGGTCCAGCCCCCTTCCCGTCTTGAACCCAGAGCCCACCCCCCAGGGAACCAGGCCCCAGGGCTCCCCCGCCTGGACCCAGAGGTTCAGGCCCCAGCCTCCTCTCTTGGATTTAGGGTCTAGGGCCAGTGCGCTGCACCCTTCTCTTACACACCGCAATCCTGTCTCATTCTTTCCCCCAAAGACCCCCGGCTCCTGCTACGTCCCCTTCGGCGTTTCAGAATTGAGCCCAAGGCTGAGTCACAGGAAGCCTCGGGCCTGAGTCACTCCCACCTCTCGGCTCAGCCCCTCCCAGGGCCAGAGAGAGTCAGAAAATGAAGCCTGTTTCAACTGCTCATAGCTTCAGGATAGAGATTGGTGTCCGTCTCTAAGACCGGCAGGTCAATGCTGCCCACTGGGGCACATCCAGCCTTCCCAGGTATCTCTTTATTTTCAGTGTATTTGGAGACAAGATTTCTGTCTAATGTCCATGTCTGGATTTCAGATTTGGCTTTTTCTTCACTTCTGTGCGTCTTCTCTATCTCTTTAATTTTGTTGTGTTTTGTTTTTGTTGTGCTAAAGATAGGATCCAGGGCCTTATGATAGGGCTCTCCTACAGAGCCACACCCCAGCCCCTCACTGGGGGATTCTAGGCAGGGGCTCTACCACTGAGCCATACCCCCAGCCCCTCACTGGGGGATTCTAGGCAGGGGCTCTACCACTGAGCCACGCCCCCAGCCCCTCACTGGGAATTCTAGGCAGGGGCTCTACCACTGAGCCACGCCCCCAGCCCTTTTTTCACTTTGTCTCCAACACCTCTGTTGTGGTTTAGTTTCTTTTCTGCGTTTTGTTTTTGTTTTTTTGAGACAGGATGTCAGCATACATCCCAGATTAGGCTCAACCTCTTCATCACCGTGCCTCAAGTGCCAAGATTTCTGAAATTATAGATGTTTGATAGCACACCTGACTCCTGGATCCTCTGTGATTCCTCAACCTCTGTCCCTCCCTCCCTCCCTCCCTCCCTCCTGTCTGTCTCTCTGTGTACATTTCTCAGAAGTCCCTGAACTGGGGCCCAGGAGCTGTGCAGTTGGTGCGGCTTGAGCTGCTCTTGGCTTTCGACTCCTTGGTGGCCCCAGTCCCTGTCCATGACTACCAGCTCCTCTGTGGGGCTGAGATGGAACCGGAAGTGACCTGCTGTCCACAGCTATGCCAGTGATGCGGACTGAGAGGGGTGGGGGGACAGGAAAGAGCTGCAGAGGCAGGGAGAGCATGAGACAGAAAGATGGAGCATGGCACTCAGAGACAGAGACTGAGGCCGAAGAGAGCCAAGGCAACGAAGATGGTGACCGCTGGAAGGAAACAGCAAAGCAGGGCTGACAGGGGAGCCATGGGAGAGGAACACAAAGACTAGAAAGAGGAGGGTATGGAGGCAGGGCTGGGGATGGCTCAGTGTTGGAGCCCTGGGGGTGTGGCTCAGTGGTAGAGCCCCTGCCTAGAATCCCCCAGTGAGGGGCTGGGGGTGTGGCTCAGTGGTAGAGCCCCTGCCTAGAATCCCCCAGTGAGGGGCTGGGGGTGTGGCTCAGTGGTAGAGCCTCTGCCTAGAATCCCCCAATGAGGGGCCCCAGCATGGCCCAGGGGTGAGCACCTGCCTAGCACACATAATATCCTGAATTCCATTCCAAACACTAAAAAAGAAAAGAAAAATGTGAAGGCTTAGAGTGAGGGAGACACTGAGAAGGGAGATGTATGCAGGGCCTAGAGATGTTCCTGGGCAGGAGGAAGCAGAGAGATGGCTCCAGGCTCCAGGCAGCAAGCAGACAGGGATGCCTGGGTTGAGGCATGAGGAGTGCCCGGCTGCAGCATCTTCTCCAAGTAGACACACGTGTGGTATCCGGGTGTGCCTGGGTGTGTCTCCATCCTTCTCCAGCCATGTGTCACTGAGTGGGATCATCATGTGTGCCGTGGGGTGGAGCACCCCCATGGGCTGTGTTTTTGTCACTGGGCGTATCTGTGTGTGTGTGTGTGTGTGTGTGTGTGTGTGTGTGTGTGTGTGTGTGTTTGGGAGTCTCTGGGTATGTCTGTGTGGGCTGCACTGGTGTGGTGCCAGACATGTCTATCCGTGGGTATCTCATTTCCCTGTGGCTGGCGGGTCCATAGTCCTGAATGCCACGGGACACGGGGAGGCAAGGAGTTGTGTCTGAACATTTCTCTCAGAGTAGGGACCGTGAGGTGAGCCTCTGTGTCACAGGATCCTTTTGTGCCCTGTCTTGGTGTCCCTGTGTGTTCTCTGTGTTGCCATGCGTGGGAGCACTTAGGGTCCCGGGACATGGTGTGCCTGTGTTCTTCACCGTGTGCCCCCATTGGATCTCTGTGTCCAACACCACATCCCATTCCCAGTGTCACATTCACAGTGTGCCTTTGCTTTGTCTCTTACAAGGTGTGTGTGAGTGTGTGTGTTCTGTGTTGGAATAGAGTGTGCAGTGTGTGCATGTCTGTGTGTGAGTGAGAGTGTGTGAGGATGTGTGTGTGTGTATTCTGTGTTGGAGCAGAGTGTGTAGGGTGTGTGTGTCTGTGTGTGAGTGAGTGTGTGTGAGTGTGTGGAGTGGCATGTACAGGTGTCTTGTGTGAGTGAGTGTGTGTGATGAGTGTATTTGAGTGTGAGTGTGTGTGAATGAGTGTGTGTGAGTGTGTGTTGTGGAGTGGCATGTGCAAGTGTCTGTGGGGGTCAGAGGTTGATGCCAGGTGTCTTCCTCAATTGTTGTGAACCTTCTGTTTGTTTACAGTGTGTGTGTGTGTGTGTGTGTGAGTGTGTGTGTGTGTGTGTGTGTCTATCATGTGTGTGCAGGTGCCAGTGGAGGTCAAAAGAGGGCGCTAGACTCACTGGAGTTACAGGCTGTTGTGAGCCAATGAATGCAGATGCTGGAAACTGAGCAGGGTCCTCTGCAGGAGCAGCATGGGCTCTTACCCGCTAAGGCATCTCTCCAGCCCCTGCACCAGACTTTTCACAAATGTGCTGGGGATTCGAACTCAGATCCTCACACTGTGCACAAACACTTTACCAACTGCCATCTCCTCAGCCCCATCTATGGGTGTTGTGAGTGTAAATGTGCATTGTAACGTTGTGTCTTACTCAGTGAGATGACCTTGTGTCTCCTATCAGGATGCATGTCCACGCTCAGGGTCTCTCTCTTGCCTGTGTGTGTTGTGGGTGTGTGTGTGTGTGTGTGTGTGTGTGTGTGTGTGTGTGCGCGCGCGCGTGCGCGCACATGTTGGAGTATAATGTGTACAGGTATCATGTGTGGCTTTGGATCGATGACATGCTAATCTGGATGCTGGCATCCATGTGGGTCCAAATCCGGCCCCACCTGCTCCAAAGACTATCATCCTGGGCTATGTCTCGTGTGGCTAGAATGTTCTAGAATGTCCATCTTTGGGTAGAAGCTGCTTGCACACTTCCATTTGGACTGTTGTCTGACTGTAGGTGTGACTCATGTGGGGTGCTGGGGCATGCTGAGTGTCAGGAGCATCAGTGTCGGGAGTCACAGTCAGGAGTGTGTGTTTGAGTCCCACACGCAAGGACGTGTGTTGCTGTGTGTTTCCAGTTCTCTAGGCACTGGGTGACAGCATCTGCCACCCTTGGTGTCTGCACATACTGGGTATAACCGTGTGTGTGTGTGTGTGTGTGTGTGTGTGTGTGTGTGTGTGTGTATGTCACATCTGCATCCCACAGGCATCTGTTGACGTTGTATGTTGTGCCTGGAGCCTTTTACGAATTGCTGTGTCTGTCCCCGCTGTGTGGTGTGTAGCTCTTGGTACACACTTGGTGTGGCCATCAATGCTTTGTATCATAAGATACTGTGGGGTTTTATTTGGTTGGGAGACAGGGTCTCATGTAGCTCAGGCTGATCTTGAACTCATGGCTGAGGAGAACCTAGAACTGCTGATCCCCCTGCTTCCAGCCCCCTAATGCCAAGGTGCAGGCATGCACCAACCCACTTTGTGCCATGCTGGGGACTGAAACTCAGAACTTCTGCATGTTAGATGAGCTCTCTGCTGACGGCACGCATCCGGGGTTCCATTTTAAAATTTTTACTTAAGGTATTTTTTTTATTTATGCGTGTGGATGATGCATATTTATGCGAATGAATGCCACATGTGTGGGGGTGCCCACAGAAGCCAGAAAAGGGGTGTCAGATTCCCCTGGAGTTGAAGTTACAAATGGTCACAAGCTGCCAGGTAGGTACTGGGAACAGAAGTTAGTCTTTTTAGAACGGCACTCACTCTTAACTGCTGCGTTCTTTCCAGCCCCTCCCCCAGCCCCATTTTGAGTGGTGTGTGTGTGTGTGTGTGTGTGACTACATCCCTACAGCCTTTGGGTGGCCCTGTGTGCCACGGGGATGCTGCTGCCCCGCTAAGTGCTGGCGTGTGTCACACCATGTGTGTGTGGTGTCTGGGTGTGGCTGTGGGTTTCTGAACTTTCGGGAGTTGTGAGTCACTTCTGTGGAGGTTGTGTGGTGTGTCCTGGTGTGTTGGGCTCCATCTCCGGTCTGTCATGGGGTGCTCTGTGGTGTCTGGGTGTGGTGGTTTGTAGGTGTGTACCACGGAGTGCAAAACGGTTGGAGAGTCACAACCCATTGTGTGTCAGAGAGTGTGTCTTTGCCCACGTGGATGGGCTCTTCTTCCTTGCCTGGGGCCACAAGACACACCCCAGCTCCTCCTTAGTCTCAGAAGGGGATGGGATGGGCAGCCTCCCCTTACCCACGGGCCTCCCCGCCCCTCCCCGCCCTGCCCTGTTGCAGTTACCACTCCCCAGAGGGCACAGGGCTGTGCCTTCCAGCGAAAGTCCCAGAGTGAGCCGAACGGGCCTCCGGCCTGGAAGCCAAGCTGGCTGCCATTTGCGTACTGAGAGGTGGGGGACCCTGGGCAGGAAGCTGGCTGAGCCCCAAGACCTCAGGGGCCATGGGCGGGGAGCTGGTGACTGGCCTGGGGGCCCTGCGACGGAGAAAACGCCTGCTGGAGCAGGAGAAGAGGGTGGCCGGCTGGGCACTGGTGCTGGCGGGAACTGGCATCGGACTCATGGTGCTCCACGCCGAGATGCTGTGGTTCCTGGGTTGCAAGGTGAGTGAAGCCCTTGGCAGAGCAGGGGAGCGGCCAGGGACCCCCGGGCGGGAGGGAGGAGAGCTAGGGTCTTACACCTCTGGGTGTGAGAAAAGAGGACCGGTCTAAAGGAGGTGGGGTGGGTGCGCCTCAAGTCTTACACTTCTTAAGGTCTGAGGGAGGAGGGGTCTGGACCCCCTGGTGCAGAGAGAGGAGGAAGCTAGGGTTTGGAACCCTTGATCTGAGGGAGGAGGGCTGGGGTCTTGCAGTCCTGGCTCTGAGGGAGGAAGAGGGTCTGGACCCCGGAGACCTGAGCTAGTGCGATCCATCCTATTCCTTCCCCCCAGCCCACCCTGCAGGAAGGGAGATGGCTCCCCTGTCAGTCTTTGAGGGGGGCGGGCGGTCCAGGTCTTGTTGAGGTCCACGCAAGGCTGACCCCTGATAGCCCGGCTCTGGGGAAGGGAGGGAGGGGAGAAGAAGAAGTCGTCATTAGGCGGTGGCTCCTTGCTCCTTATCTAGCCTTTAACGCCCAGGGCCACCAGGCAGTAGCCGACAAAGAAGGTGGAAAGTGGAACCCCCACACACATGCTGCACAGAAGCTGGATTCCCCCCAGAATGCACCTGTCATTCAGTTGCCAGACAGTGGTTTCCAGCGGCTTGAACTCCTAGTCTCTGGGGAAGAGGAGGCTGGGGGTTCAGACTCAAGAGGAGGCAGGAGAAGGCTGGGCGAGTCTGCCAGGCATGGGGGTGGCACACCTGTGATCTGAGCACTGGGGACGTGAAGGCAAGAGGATCAGAAGGTTAGAGCCAGCCTGGGCTACGTACTTAGTTGGAGGCCAGCCTGGGCTACACAAGACCTTATCTCAAAAAAAAAAAATTAATTAATTAAAACCAAAACACCCAGAGAACTTAAACAACGCGGGGGATGGGGAGAACACTTTAGAGAAAGCTATCAATCAATCTTTGGAGGACCAGGGAGTACAGGTAGGGCTGGGACAGGTCTCAGCAAGCCCTTGGGGTATTCTGGCCTCGGTCAGGCTTGCAGCATGAGAGAGATGGAGGGCAGGGGTTGGGTCTGTGGCTTGAGGGGGAAACACACTTGTTCAATAGGAAAGCTGGGGCTGTGGATGTGGTCTGCCATGAACACAGATGGGAAGTTCATTGAGAGATCCTCCGGTCTGGTATCCGTCTGTATTTGAGGATCGGGGGGTGGGGGTTAGCAGCGGCTGTGAAGTGACTGGCAGCCACATGGAGGGTCAGGGCAGGCCAGCTTCCTTCAGCCAAGTGACCAAGGAGAGGGCAGCCACTTCGAGGGGGTGGGGCCACTGAGAGCCATGCCAACAGGAAACATGGCTGGGGCCTGCCCGGCGCTCCCACGCTCCAGCACCGCGCCCAGCAGGGAAGGTGGGGGTCTGGGAGTCCCGGCAAGATGGGAAGAAACTGGGGGTCCTTCCTTCCCTGAGACCTGCCCACATCCTTCGCATCTCTCTCTCTCTTCTTCCACTTCATCACCTGCCCAGGCCCTTTCCTCCAACTGGGATACTTGGAGGGAACTGGTGCAACTCTCTGAGCCTCAGTTTCCCCATCTGTTCAAATACGTGGCCATTGGCGTCCTCCCAGTTCTTCTAACCTTTGCTTGGTTGAGATAAGGCCTCCGGTAGCTCAGGCTGGCCTTGAACCAGCTACATAGCTGAGGATGGCCCTGTACTGCTGAGCCTCCTGCCTCCACTTCCCCAAGTGCAGGGGTCACAGGCATGTGCCACCACACTCGGTTCACACACAGATGAGGGTCGAACCCAAGGCTTTGCGCTTGCTAGGCAAGCCCTCTGCCAGATGGGCCACATCCTCACCCCACGATCCCTTCCAAAGGCTGCCTTTGGTGACATTCACGTCCCCTCCCTTCCCAATTCCATCTCAAGCTAGTAAACTTATTTTGACAGAATGAAGACACCTGCTCCTCAGGAGGAGGGCCAGGTGCCGAGACTTAGGGGAGGAAGAGACAGACAGCTCTTTGGATGAGTTCCAGGCCAGCCTGGTCTCCACAGTGAGTTCCAAGACAGCCAGAGCTACATAGTGAGCCCCTGTCTGGAAAGAGGGGGGGGGAGAGGGAGGGGAGAGAGAGAGAGAGAGGAATGCCCTACAAACAGAGAAACCCCACCACTACCACCACCACCAGGGCTGGGCTGTAGCTCAGTCAGTTGAGTACTTGCTTAGCATGCACAAAGCCTGGGGTTTGATCCCCATCCCTGGGCAAATTGGGTGGGATGATGCATTGCCCGGGGGCCAGATCTTTTTCTAGACATCACACGTATACACAGAGGAGGAACTGCTTTTCATAGGGAAAGGGAAAGAATATGAGTTTCAAGACACCTCCGGGGTCTTCACCGGGTGCGGGGGAGTGGAGGGTAGGGGAACTGATTGCAGACGCGGCTGTCTGGTTGGGGAGTAGATGGTCCGTTTGCCTTGGGGCAGGGTTCTGCACTTGGGAGGTGTAGAGGCAGAAGGATCGGGAGTTTGAAGTCACCCTAAGCTGAACAGTGAGTGCAACACCGACCAGCAGGGCTCCATGAGACCCTGCCACAAAACAAGATGAAATACGTTTAATACTCAGAGAGGGGGAAGTAAGAGACCCCGGTCCAGGTGGGGCATCGGGAGAAACGGATCGTATTGTGGGGACGTGGCTGGTGTCTGATGGGACCGGGGTGCAGACAGACTGAAAAAACTGAACGGGGAGCCTGGGAAGGATGGAGGGGGAGGGGAGGGCTGGGGACAACAGTACCATTGTTCAGGCGGCGGTGGGGGGAGGCCCCCAGGGGCAGGAAACTGGCCCTCTTCCCCTGCTCAGAGGCGGGGTGCTGGCCCAGGCCCAGGTGGGAGAGGGCTGGGGAGAAACAGGTGCAGGGTCAAGGAGAGAACCAGGCGAGCCCTCGCTAGGGAGGTCTCTCCCGTGGGCATCACCCACCCTGGGGACCTCAGCTGTCCTCGTCCCCTGCTCTCTAACCCTTCCTCCCTGGATTTAGATCCCTCCAAGGCATTTGCCACACAAAGAGAGGAAGAAAAAAAACTTCTGGTTTATGTAGGCCCTGAACTTCCGCCCGCTGGTGTGCTTGCCCTGGGCTTACAGCCAGGGGAAGTGTGGGAGAGGGGAAGGGGGGACTCCAGGAGCAGGACTGGGGGCCCCTCCGGGAGCTGGGGCTGGGGGTCTCCGGGATTCATTCCCCAGAGCAGGGAAGAGCGTCACTCTGCTCTGGGAGGCTGAGTGACAGTCCCTAGCCTTTTCTGGAATTGGGGTTTGGGGGTAAGCCCTGCTTGCTGGGGAGGGAAGGAGCATTCTCTGGGGGGCTGGATGTCTTATTCTAGACATCACATGTATACACAAATGAGGAACTACTTTTCATTAGGAAAGAGAAAGAGTTTAAGTTTCAAACATCTCCGGGGGTGGGGGGGCGGGGAGTAGAGGGTAGAGGGGCCAATCTGAGACGTGGCTGTCTGGTTGGGGAATAGACGATAGCTCTTTGCTTTTGCTCTATAAGCCCAGGTAGACCCGAAACTAGAGACCCTCTAGTCTGAGCCTCCCGAGGGCCAGGATTATAAAGCCTGACCATCACACTGGACTTAAGAACGGTTTTGAGGTCCTGTGACGAGGGACTGATTTGGGGGCCAGAACATCAGGAATGGGGAAAGGTGGTCTTTCTGAAAGCCGGGAATGGGGATGGAAGGGCTGGAGGCATGGGCTCATCGTCTCTTGTCCTCCCCACAGTGGGTGCTGTACCTGCTCTTGGTTAAGAGTTTGATCACCCTGTCCACCATCTTCCTCCTTTGCCTTATTGTGGTCTTCCATGCCAAGGAGGTCCAGGTGAGTGGGGTCCTACCCCTCAGCTTCATTCCCCATGTATCCACCTCCTTCTCCTGTCCTGAGATGCATGTGTCTATGCCCTTGCTCACTGGGATGGAATGAAGCACAGACAGACAGACAGGCAGATTCTGCTGAGGTGTCTGATCCATGCCCCTATCTGTAGGCCCATGGCTTCTTGCCCACTTAGGGATGGTGACAGTGACTGCCCTTCCAGCTCCAGGTCCATTGCTTTATAATTATAATAATTATGTAATAATAATAATAATAATAATAAGTGCTGGGCATTAAAGTCAGGATCATGCACATGTTGGCAAATGAGTCAAACCCCCAGCCCCTCACTGGGGGATTCTAGGCAGGGGCTCTACCACTGAGCCACACCTCCAGCCCCTCACTGGGGGATTCTAGGCAGGGGCTCTACCACTAAATTATATCTCTAACTTTTCTACAACTGTTATTAATGAGAATAATAGTGTGTACTTACAATTTTTAACTTATTTTTTTTAATGGGGGCACATATGTGGAAGTCAGACGATAACTTATGTGAGTCAGCTTTCTCCTTCTACCATGTGGGTTTTGGGACTCAAACTCAGGTCATAGGGTTTGGAGGTAAAGGCCTTGGCTCACTGAGGCATCACACAGGCCCAAAGAATGTGTGCTTTTAGCCGAGTGCCTCTTAGATGCCAAGCACCTCCCAGGGTGTTCCTGTACATGGCTGAGAGTCACTATTTTATATGGGAGTTGGGCACCAGGACCTGGGGAAATGGAAATGGGGATGGGATTACATCTCACTGAGACCAGAGCTCAAGGATGGCTGGGAAGAGTTGCTGAGTCTGGAGAGGAAAGAAGTCACACAGAAGTGGAGACCTGAGGGGCTGGTGCTATGTGGGATGCTGTGTTAGGTGACTTGGGATTGCAAAGGTGAGGACACAATAATAGAGGGCAGAGATCTGGGGGTGTGGCTCAGTGGTAGAGCCCCTGCCTAGAACCCTCCAGTGAGGGGCTGGGGTGTGGCTCAGTGGTAGAGCCCCTGCCTAGAATCCCCCAGTGAGGGGCTGGGGGTGTGGCTCAGTGGTAGAGCCCC